TTGACACAGGGGTAGCACATGGAAAGCCAGAGCACGTTGCCTGCAGTGTGGAGGGAGGAGGTCAGAAATCCAGCACAGAAAGTGAATGTTTAGGGCCTGGGCAGGAGGCACTGCAGGGGATTGTAACAGAGCTGTGCCCAAAACAGCTTTTGTGTTCCCTTCCTGGTCTTCTCTGATCACTTTTTGTTGTGGTTTAATCACAACAAAAGCAATCCCCAGGGAGTGAATCCCTGGATTTTACCTGCCAGGGCTGTCTCTGAGAGCACAAACGGTGCCTGTGCTCAGGCTGACACAGCCACTCCCCACCAGGGCTGATTGGAAATGAGCAGATGGATATTTGGGATGAGGCTCTTGCCTCTGTGCTCTGACAGATCTCTGACTCATTGTCAGCCTCTGTGGGTTTCTGGCTCCCTGGAGTGCACATCCAGAATGGGAAAAGCATCAGGATTTTGATGGATATGTTCCCTTCTGGCTGCCAGACTTGTCAGTACTAAATGGTGCAAGTGTCAGGCAACAGGGCTGACTCAGACACCAGCAGGAGGGGGTGAATAAATGCTCCCCTGGCTCACACACAACACTTCACTTCTCTTGTAGACACTCTCTGAGTTGAGGGATCTGTGCAGCTTTGCCCTCTGTGCTTGGTGAAGGGGTTCCTTTCTAGGCCTTCCTGCCATGCCCTTCTCTACAGGAGGCATCATTAGATCCTTTTGGTGGCCATGGTAGGATGAAACAAGTGGCCCTTCCCCTTATTCTTTATGGGACTCATCTTCTCTCCATGCCCTTGTGTCACCACCCCTTCCAGGTGTCATCCTGAAGGGCTCCAGCTCTCTGAAATGGGGGAGAAAATGTCTGTGGTTGGTACCTAAACGTGAAGTACCAGCATCTGCAGGAGGGGAATGTTCCACTGAAAGGCCAGCTGAGAAGCTCCCAAAAAAGGGACAGCAGAGTCACCTCTGAAGGGTGTCAGACACCCAGGGGGAATTCAATACAACCTCCTGTTTATGTCAGGATTTAGGGTAACATGAAGTTATCCCTCTGTAAGTGAAATTTTGGGGAGCTGCAAGGAGAATTGTAGTTGGACTCTGGCTGGGCCACCAGAATAACCTGGAGCTCTGTGTGTTCTCTTTTGGAGACCCTGACCCTGGATGCCTCTTCCATGACCTACCCATCACCTGAGGTCTGCAGTGCAGGCACAGAGGCCATCCAGCAGTTCCTCTGCAAAGGTCAGCAAGGAGCACCCGTGGCTGGGGTGAGGGCTGGGGGCCCAGGCTGGCTCTGACCAGGTGCTGTGGGTGTTCAAAGAGGGTGTTTGGGAAGGACACAGGTTGTGTGGGCCCTGCCTGGGGTGGTTCCTGGTGCCCTGCACACCTGACAGGCTGCTCAGTGACCTGTCTGTGCTGGCAAGCAGCACAACAGGAGTCCTCCCTTGAGCCCTGCTGCTCTGCCACACTGAAATGTTAAAACATCAGAGTAGCTGGGTCAGACTCTCTCAGTGACCAAAAGAAGTCAGTGCATTTCCCAGTGGTTTTGTTTTTTTTTCTCATTTGGATTTTCTCCAGTGGGAGGATTAGGCATTGTCCACATATCACTGCCTTGGGACAGGCAGAGAGGCTCAGTATTCACTCAAGGTCCTTTCTACCCTCATTTTCCAAGAGGAAGGATGTGGGACTGCAGACTGATGGGTTGTTATGAGAGTGATGAAACCCGATGGAAAACTCAAAGGGCAAAGATAATGGACTGTGAGTTTGTAAACACTGTGTTTAATACAGGCAGGGAGGTTTGGTGGAGGTTTTATACAGGGAAAGTGGGTGCTGGATATTGGGATATTCCCTGAGACAACAGGACAGTTATTTTGGTCTGGGCAGCAACATTTGCAGCCCTGCAGAAGTCACCAGGCCTGTACCTGTGTGCAGGAGGTGTTTCTCTCTGAGCAGGTCAGCTTTGAACCTTCTCCTGGTGGGACTGGAGTGCCACAGCCCCCTCCCAGAGCTCCTTGTCCATCCTGCCTGAGCTGGAGGAGCTGTGCTGGGTGCTGGTTGGTGTGTGAGGAGAGGAAGCACTGCTGGAAGCAGTCTCACACACCAGCCAGCCCTGGCCATGCTGCCAGGGAGGTCCTTAAGCACCAAATGTTCTTACCTTGTGCCTGATACCTTCCAGAGTGTGGAATTGCCTACTACCCTCCCTCCCAGTATCTGCTTCCTGAGCTGGAGAGCAATGGAGGAGGATCATCAGTGGATGGGGTGGACAGGACAGTGCATAAGTACCTGCAGGAGGCGAGTGAGTGGCAGGTGAGGCTCCCACTGCGTGTGAAATTGTGTGAGAGGGTTTGGGATTTGTCTCTGTGCCCCATCACTGGATCTCACAGCACTTGGCACATCATCCCTTTCACTTTAAGACACTCCATTTAACAAAAATATTAGGAGTCTGAAGATATTTATCCACACATAGGAAGTGCTGTATTGCAGAACTCACAGTCCAGGCAAACTTCTGGCTTTACAAAACAGAAAATTGAAATTCTATAGGAATCTCAAGCAGCATTTCCAAAAATCTGCATTTGATATGACAACACCAGTTCTGCACGTGACGGATAATTGAGTGCTCAAGATTTATGGTTGTTTCCTGTTTTCCTTCCAAGATTTAGGGTGAAAAAATATACACTGTTCACAGATAGAAATATCCACAGGCTCCAGGAAACTGGGTGAGGTTAAACAGAATCATCAGCTGTGCTGCTAAATGCAGAATGTGTCTGCATCTCCATGAGAGGTGTCTTTTGGGATCAAGAAGGCATCCAGGCATAGCAGTTTGTGTGTGGGGGTGGCTCATCTCCTTCCTGAGCTGGGGGTGGTGTCACCACACTGACTCCTGGAAGACACATCCCAAAGAACTGAATCCATCCTTGGAAGCCATGATGCAGTCAAGGGACAGGGGTGACAGTGTGACATGGATGTGCAGGGTGGTAACACTTGTAATTTTGGGGGGACAGCAAACTGCAGAAGAACCTTGTGATTCCCAGCCAGGTGCTGGATGTGTTCCCCTCCCTGGAGAAGGTGAGGCTGGGCCAATAATTGTGGGAACTCTGCTAATTCTGTGCTCTTTGGCAAGTACAGAGCCAATGTCTTTGTCCCTGGAGAAGCCTCAGTGACTGACTTTGGGCTTATGCTCCAGTGCTTTTGGTGGATGTCTTTACTCAGTTAGGGGAAGATGGAATGAGGGTTAATGACACCTACAAAAAAAGTCCTCTGGGGAATAAATGTCTGCTGATATTGCTTATTTTTCAGAACAAATTCTCGGAGTATGAGAAGAGGAAGGTAAGGATGAATGCCTGCAAATGCTCTGTCTGGGTCTGCTTCTGCTTTCTGTTTTCTATCTCTTTATCTGGTTTCTCAGCCAAAACTGAGTGTTTTGAGATCTGAGTTCTTGCATTAACCCCCAAAGCTGCTCACTTGTCACAGCAGGAGACAAGTGGGAGCAGGGGGGAATCTGTGCCTGCCTGGTGTGCCACACAGAGCTGAGGTGTTGCTGTCCCCCTGTGAGTGAGCAGCTCCAGCTGAAATCAGTCTGCAGAGCTGGATCCAGGGGCTTTCACACCAGGTGGCTTTTCCTTGCCTTTCTGTGCTGGAAGCTCAGCTGTTTTCCCCATGGGGTGGGCAGATGTGTGTGAGCACAGGCTGCTCAGTACATCCCTGCCCCAAACTCCAGCCCCTCCCTGACTCCTACCCTGTCCCTTTGGCTCACAGTGCCACCCTTCCTGCACTCTCCCAGCCTTCCCTGTTTCTGTCCTCCATTCCCCTCACCCGGCTGCATTTTTAGTTTGTTCTTATTTCCCTGTCCCTGTCTCTTCCCCTGGGCAAGGCTCCCTTTGAAAGAATCAGAAGCTCCTGCCTTGCAGTTCATTGCTGCCTTTGGCTCGAGCTGCTTCCCTCAGACAAGGGAGTCCTGTTCCCATCTGGAATTGAACTCCACCTTCATTTTGGGCTTCCCTCCAGGGGTTTGTATTGGCTGTTTCAGTATCAGTCGATGCCCAGGGACTTCAGCTTCCTGGTGATGAAATGAGTTGTGAGGAGTTTGGAGACTCCTGAAGAGAGCAGCAGCTTCTCTGTAATTTTTGAGTTCCCAAGGGGAGGATGTTTCCATTCCCTGGTCAAGCCTCCTGTTTGCCATTTGGCTTCCCTTCCTCTTGCTGTGCCTTGGTTGGTGTTTTTGCCAGAGCATGTTCTCGCTTGGGAAGGACCAGAGCCAGCAGCCTTCTGGTTCCTGCCACTCACCTTTCTCCTTGTTCCTCTCAGGAACAAAAGATGCAGGAGAAGCTGGAATTCGAGCGGCGCCTGAACGTGGGGCAGCGGGAACACGCTCTGCTGGTCCAGCAGCTCCACAGCCAGAAGGATGAGATCCTGCAGACAGTGAGGGAGGTGGGTGTCCCTGGGAGCCCTGCACAGGACCCCTGTTGTGGGGGGGAGTGGAAGGCTTAGACATTTATTAAAGAATTTATTAAAGAAGCCCTGCCCTTGAGTCACAAGGTGCAGAAAGGACTCCCTGGCTTTCTAAACCCCTTCTCAGAGAGGAGCCTGGGGGTGGCTGGATCCATTTTTAGCCTTGGATTATGTCAATGGTTTGAATTTAAGGAATTAGAGAGGTGTGATTGAACCACTTTTGTCCTGCAGGTTTTATTGATTGGCAAAATGAGAATATGTATATAAAATGAATCATTTATTATTACAAATGATCAGACAAAAGATCTTAATCAGAATTATTTACTACACAATAAAAACTCTAAAACTTCTAGTAGTGTAGTATAAGATAGGACAGTGCACTATATTGAAGCAATTAGTGAAGCAATTATATTAAAGCTGGCAAAAAGAAATAATTATTAAGTAAAGATTTGATCTAACTCACCCAGATCAACACCTGTGGGGAGATCTCTTTCCCTCAACCTCGAGGAGTGTCCTTGGGCATCCCCACCCAAGAGAAGAATCTCCACACACCCCCCCAAGAAGGGTTATGTCAGAAGAACCTGACTGTATGAAGGGGGACTGGGCTTTTATAGCATAAAGTGATTGACTGCTGGTCACAAATTTCCAGGCCAGCTCCCACCTCATCTGTCACATCCAACTTCAAAGAGCAGGGTGTGTGTTTGGGGTTTGGTGGCCCAGGCTGCTTTTAGCACAATTCAACACCAAAACAGCACCGTGGCACCACCAGTGACTCACCCCAGAGAGCTGGCACTGTTTGCATTCTCTGACTGCATTTTAGGTCTTATGGGGTTATCCTGCCACAAGACCCACTGCCTTCCCTGAACCCACCCCTTTGTCCTTGTTTGCTTTGGCAGGACCAGCAGAGGCTGGAGGAGGGGCTGACGAAGCACCAGCGCTATTTGGAGGGCGAGCGCCTGAAGCTGCTGCAGCAGCTGAAGCTCACGGAGCAGGGCATTGCCAGCAGGATCCACAAGCTGCTGGAGGACAACCAGAGGTGGGCTCTTGCCCTGCTCACTGTCCCTGGGGGGCTCAGGTCGTTTTGTCCCATTCTGAGTGGTTCATCTTGCCCTTTCTGAGTGTTTCGGAGCTGGTCAGGATCAAAAAGGTGCTTTAGATCTTGGAGTGCCAAAGTCCCACTTAAAGCAAGAGGAATTTGCACCTTAAAAAACCGGTTTCACACATGTGTGATGTTGGAATTTTGCAGTGCTGTGGAAGGAATTTGAATTCCTCGTGGAAGGTGCAAATCTGAAGTGTTTTAGGGTGCCACTGCCTGTATCTGCTGGATCTCCATATGGCTGGTGCTGATGTGAGGTGCCCAGCCTGCAGAAAGCTGTGCATAGGACCAAAGTTGTTTTCTCTCAGGCACATGATGGGATTGTTGGGGCTGTTCTGTGCATGGCCAGGAGTTGGATGGTCCTTGTGGGTCCTTTCCAACTCAGGATATTCTATGACTCTGTGATTCTGCCCTCTGGGGAACCAGGATGTCCTGCTCAGCTTGATGAAAACCTCTTGTTTTATCTTTTTTTATAGGCAGAAACAAAGTTCAGACATTCTGAAGTCCTTGGAGAATGAGAGGTGAGTCCCCTTGAAACAACCTCTTGTAGAAAAGGGGCTGGGAAAAGAGGGTTGGGAGCTTTCTTTCAGCCACCAGTCTGAATCCACCCTGAGTCAAGGGAGGTTCTTCTCATATCTGCAGCTGGTTGTGGTCACTGTTGCAGACAAGACACCTGACTAGATGTGCCTGGTCTTACCCAGTCTGTCAAACCCAATCACATGGTGATTTTACCTCTTTTTCATCTCTGAATGGTCCTAGATGAGGAGTTTGGGAACAAAACCCTGTATTCCAATGTCAAGGGCCAACAGAGATCCTACATCTGTTGGAAAGGAAGGCAGTTATGAGGATGGTCCAGTAATGTGTCCAGGCTGGGAGGAATGGAATCATGGAATCCCTGACTGATTTGGGTTGGAAGGGACCTTAAAGCTCATCTTGTTTCAATCCCCTGCCGTGGGCAGGGACACCTTCCACTAGCCCAGGTTGCCACTCAGCCAACACTCTGAGCCACCTCTGCCACCCAAAGTGATTGTCCCCAGCTCTGCCCTGCCTGGAGCTGCCCCCTCCCTGCAGCCAACTGTGCTGGGCCCAGTGACCTGGCTGAAAACCACCCAGTGTGTGTCAGATTGCTCTCCAACCACACCAGCTCCTGACCTGCTGTGTGTGTTTGTGTGCTGGGACAAGGACAGGGCTGCTGAGGAGGGAGGCCAGGCAGTGGCACTGCTCATTTAGGCCAGCTGGGAAGGGCTCATCCCACCTCAGGAGAAAGGAAAGCCAAGGACAGGTCTGGCACTGTGTTTGGGGAGGGTGTGTGCACGCTGTGTGGATGTCCTGTCTCTCAGAGAGACCAGTTCTCCTGTCTAAAGCCATTGCCCCAAGGTTTTGAGCAAAATTTAGGTTGTCTCCCATAAACTCAGAGGTTCCTCACCAAAAAATCACCCAGGCTTTGGTGCCTCTGATAAGCCCAACTTCCCTGAGCTGCTGGCAGGGTAAACCTGCCCAGCCTGGAGGCTCAGAGCTGGGTGGGTGGAGGAGAAGGGCTTGTCTGAAGGAGTGGCTGAAGTGTTGCTGTTTGTTGGGCAGGATTAGGATGGAGCAGCTGATGGCAATAACCCAGGAGGAGACGGAGCAGCTGCGCAGACGGGAAGTGGCCTGTGAGTCCTGACAAGTCTTTGGGGTGGTGAAGTGAAGGCTCTGGAGCACCAGGAGCAGCTGAGGGAGCTGGAGGGGCTCAGCCTGGAGAAAAGGAGGCTCAGGGGGGACCTTCTTGCTTTCTACAACTCCCTGACAGGAGGGGGGGCCTGGGGGGGGTCGGGCTCTGCTCCCAGGGAACAAGGGACAGGAGGAGAGGAAACAGCCTCAAGTTGTGCCAGGGGAGGTTTAGGTTAGATATTAGGAACTTTTTTTTCATGGAAAAGGTTGTCCAGCATTGGCACAGGCTGTGCAGGGCAGTGGTGGAGTCACCATCCCTGGAGGTGTTCAAAAAACACGTGGATGCAGCACTTGAGGACATGGATTAGTGGTGGACATGGTGGTGATGCTGATGGTTGGAGTTGGGGATCTTAAAGGTCATTTCCAACCTTAACAATTCTGTGATTCTGTGGAAGACCTGGTTCCTCTGGAGAAGCACTGGATGGGTGCCAACCACCTGGGAGATGCTGTGGCACACACACATTCTGCTGTCACACACCCATTCTGATGTGGTCCTCGGTGCAATGGGGCAGAGCTGATCCATGGCTTCCACCTGCAGCTCACTGCTGGTTCTCCTGGAGGTACAAGCCGTGCTCCCTGTAGCCACAGCCTGTTACCCAGGGAGTTGGTGAGACTGGATGTAACACACAAAGTGCTTCTTATTCCAGAGGTGCCCAACAGATGTGAACCCACCAGGTTCGTGTCTGGGGAACAAGAATGGTGCTGAGGAGCCTTTTCTGCTCATGCTGACCATGAACAGGGTGCAAGGGAAAAGGGGCACCCCAAGGATGGGTGACTGGCACAGTAGAGCTACAGCCCAACTACTCCCTTCTCTCTGTGACCAGGGACAGCACCCAGGGAATGGCCTGGAGCTGTGTCAGGGCAGGGTCAGGTTGGATCTCAGGAAAAGGTTCTTCCCCCAGAGGGTGGTTGGGCACTGCCCAGGCTCCCCAGGGCAGTGGGCACAGCACCAAGGCTGCCAGAGCTCCAGGAGGGTTTGGACAAGGCTCTGAGGACAGGGTGGGATTGTTGGGGTGTCTGTGCAGGGCCAGGAGTTGGACTGGACGGTCCTTGGGCATCCCTTCCTACTTCCCAGGAGATTCTGTGATTCTGTGATCTGAGGGCTGGGATGCAGTGACTGGGCTCCTCTGAGCTCTGAAGAGATGCAAGCACAGGCAGAGTGGAGTTCCCTCAGCTAATTTCACAATAAATAGCCACAATTCCTGCAGCTGGATGGGTCTGCTCTGAGGTGAATGAAACAGAAGCAGCAAGGGCAGGTTGCAATGAGAGAGGGGCTCTGTTAGTTGGCAGTGAGTGCCCATCCTGGACACCCACCCCAGACAGGCACTGACAGCCCTTCTGTCCCCAGCTGCCATGCAGCAAATGCTGGCTGAGACCTACAAGAACAAGCTCCTCCAAGTGACCTACGAGTCTCGTCGGCAGGACCTCGTGAGCCAGGCCTGCTCCAGGTACAGGGGGTGGCTGGGCTGGGGGTGCTCTTGTTAAGGCTCTTTCTTTTCCCATATATCCCCCTGGAGCTCCTCTAGCCTCTGGAATGTGGCAGGACAGGTGTAAGAGCATGTGATAATACAGTTAAACACACTGTCAAACTCACCTAAATGAACCCCCCTCCAGTGACAGGAATGTGCACGTTCATCACACTTTGGGTGAACTGTCACTCTCTACACTGTATATTTTGTTTTCTACATTCTGCTAAATATGGAGGGTGGAATCAGACAAGTCATCTTCCTGTTTTGAGAGGCAGTTCAGTGCCAAACTGTAGGTCAGAGCTCCTTTCCTCACCTCCCAGGCTGCCTCAAGGATGCTGTGTGTATCCATGTAGGACTTGTGCTGCTGTAGGTACTGAGAGCATTCCCTCTGTTTACAGCAAGGTGAGAAATTTGATCTGGCAGCATCTGGCACTGAACAGAAAGGTTGTGAGCCTGTGACCTGCCCCCCAGGGCCTGTGTGGGTGCAGGGAAGGAGGTGTTAAATCTGAACCTCCTTATGTTCAGTAACACATTCTCCACCTGCACCCCCCATTGCTGCTTTTCCTCTTTTCCACTTGGTTTGCCCCAAGAGTCCCAGGCCTGGCATTAACTCCATCTCCTTGCAGCCTAGCTGAGATGGATCAGAAGTTCCAGCAAATCCTGGATTGGCAACAGCTGGATCAGAACAAAGCTGTCAGTCAGATCCTGCAGCAGGTAGGGAAGGGAGCAAACTGCTCATGAGGGATTGAGGGGAAGCAACTGCATGTGAAAGCAGGATCCACAGTGGGTCACAGGAGCAGCAGTGGCTGGGCTGCATGAAAAGTTATTTCATTTAACCCTTCATGCTAAACTTTAAGAATCTCTGGTGTCCTAACAAACTGTGGCTGAAGGAAAAATGGTTTTATTTTTTAACCGGGCAGCAAATTTTTAGAAAAAACAGAAGCACAGACCATGGGAAGCAAAAGTGTTCTGATGATTAATAGAGAGGATTTTGAGACAGAAGTCCTGTCTTTTGGCTGGTTTCCTGGGTGGTCTGGGACAAGCTGCCCACAGGAAGCATTTCCAAAGCTCAGTTTTCAGAAGTGCTGGGCAGCCTTGGCAACCCTGTGGCACAGCCTGGGGGCTCAGTGCTGCTGAAGGGGGGAGGTGAGGGTCATACAGAGCATTCCAGATGTGTGTTTGAAGAACATGAACATTTCTCTGTGTGTCTGTAAGGTGGGTTTTACCTCTTGGGACTCTGGGCTCTCAGTCATGGTCACAGGACACTTGCCCAGAGCAAGCACTGCTTGCCCAAGCACCTGAGTCCCTGCCAGGCAGCAGTTTCTGAGCCCATCAGCAACTGCATGAACCACCTCACTGAGCAGGATTTTGCCTGTCCTGTAGATTGAGATGCAGAAAGATGCCTTTGAAGCTCTCCAGGTGAAGAAGGATCTTATGCACAGGCAGATCAGGAACCAGGTAAGTCACCAACAGGGGAAAGAGCAACCAGCTCCTGAGCTGTTCGGTGAGACCCTCGTGAGGAAGAGCAAAGTGCTGTGAGCACAGAGCAGGGTCTGCAGGACATGAAGGGCTCTGGTGTTGCTGAGAGCTCTGGAGTGGAGAGTTGGGCAGTGTTGGTTTAACTCCAGTCTCCCAGCTCTGAGGGAGGGAGTGTCAAACCAGGTTTTAGGTTCCTGGAGGTGGTGGCATTGCCATTGCTTCAGTCAGTCACCTCAGCACTGGTGGGTGAAGCACTGGAGAGCTGTCACTAGAGGACAGACCTGCACTGGCTCTGGGGGGTGATCTGCAATTGCAACCATGATTTCTTTTGGGCTGTGTGCTTGGCAGGGCTGCTGTTTGCACATGAGTCCACTGCATCTCCATCCAGCACATCAGAACTGCTCCTTGGGCCATGAGTTCACCTTTTCTTTCCCATTCTCAGCCTGTTTGTGAGCTCCATTCTGCAGAAGGTGCAATGCTGTAGTTGGGGGTAAGAGCAGGAGCTGGTGGAAAAATTAGCAGTGGATGATGCAGGAAGGTGGGAAGGTAGCAGTGGATGATGC